TGTGTGTGTGTGTGTGTGTGTGTGTGTGTGTGTGTGTGTGTGTGTGTTGGGGTGGGGGTTGCTTTTCTCCGCGTTGCCATTGCACCTTCCAGCCTCGGGTGGGAAGAAGCCTTACCAGATCTCCAAACATCTGCTGGGGGGAATCCCACGGCCAAGTGGCAAGGAAAAGAAACGATCTCTCTCTCTTCCTTCCTTCCTTCCTTCCTTCTCCGGCCAACCTGCCCAGTCCAAGACTCCTCGGCCCCGGCCGGTGCCCGCCAAGCTCTCGCTCTCCTCCGGCTGCTGCTGGCTCCGCGGGGCCCGCGTGGGCTGCGTGGAAAGGGAGCCGGGAGAGGAGCTACCAAGGCGCCCTCGCCGCCGCCGCCGCTTTTCCTCCTCCGAGGAGCATCCTCGATCCAAGGAGGAGGAGGAGGAGGAGGAGAAGGTGTCCCCGGGCCAAGTTTACCTTTCAACTGTCTGGCAGGCAGCGGGCCAGCCTCCGGGCGCTGTTTCCCTAGCAACCGTCCCCACGGCGGGTGTGTGTGTGTGTGTGTGTGTGTGTGTGTGTGTGTGTGTGTCTCCAACGCCTCCCCCTCGCTCCCACTTTGATCTATCGGGGTTTTCCCCCCCCCCACCTCCAAAAACTGTCAACCGGATGGCTCAGCCCCCATCATCCCGCAACCCCCCCCCAACCCATCCTCCCCCGTGGATGAGCTGAGCTGGGACAGCCGCTGCAGCCGGGTGGATACGCGTGGGACCCTTCCCCACGCCCGCCTCGCGCCTGCCTCGCCCTCACAGGTGAGCTTCTTTTTCCCCCCTCCCCTTCCCCCGCCCAGGTAAGAAGGAGGGGGAAGCCCAGGTGGGAAGCCAAGCCGGGCTTGGGTCTTGGCAGCGGTTCGGCGGGGGGGGGCTGAGACGCGCGGGACAGGCTTCGCGCGGCGTCACGCGTGTCCGGCAAAGGCTTTCTCGGCGCGAGAGAGGTTTGTCTGCCCGAGGCAGAGATAAAGCAGCCGAGGTTGCATTCACACGACGGATAGGACCCAAATGTGCTGGATAAGACGGGATTAGCTCCGTCCAAATCGCGTTGGGAGAGTTTATGCAACGTTAATTAAATTGGGAGGACATTTGTGACTCACAGCATCCTAGAGATGAAAGGGGCCCCACGAGGTGATCGTTCTGGTCTCTTCCAACTCTCTCATTCATGGCTGGCTGGGGAATTCTGGGAGTTGCGGTCCACCAGTCTTAAAGGGGCCAAGATTGGAGACCCCTGACTTAGATGACCCTTCTGGTCTCTTCCAACTCTATCACTCATGGCTGGCTGGGGAATTCTGGGAGTTGCAGTCCACAAGTCTTAAAGGGGCCTTAGAGGGCATCTAAACTAAAAGATGATTAGGGGGCTGGAGGCTAAAACATATGAAGAATGGTTTGCGTGATTTTGGTATGTCAGGTCTGGTGAAAAGAAGGACCGGGGGCTGACATGAGAGCAGTCTTCCGAGATCTCAGGGGCTGCCCCAGAGAAGAGGGAGCCAAGCTATCCTCCTAAACACCAGGAGGCAAAGAAAGAAACAAGGGTGGAAACGAATCCAGGAGAGAAGCAATCGGGAACTAAGGAGAAATTTCCTGTCAGAACAATTGATCAGGGGAACAGAAGTTGTGGCTGCTCCATCCATCCCGGGAGGCTTTCAAGGAGAGATTGGATATGCACTTGTCTGGAACGGTCGAGGGTCCCCTGCCTGAGCAGGGGGTTGGACTAGAAGATCTCCAAGGTCTCTTCCAACTCTGTTATTCTGTTCCTTTGGCCTTCTTTAAGCATGCCAAATTAACCTAATAAAGTCATCCATGCCCTTCATGCCAGACAAAGGCCTGAAACACGAGAGGCAGATCTGGGTGCTGGGTAAGGACGGATTTTCTGCAAAGCTGGAGTTCACCTTTTGTGGTGTCCCGTTGCTTGCCGACATCCAGGGCATCACTGTTACAAACAAGACGAGCTTTGTCCTTTTTGAAAGGCAATGCAAAATCCTCTCTCTTTTGCCATCAGAAGAGAAGGAGAGGCGTCCTTCTGTCTTGCCCTTTCTAGAACAAATCTTTTACTTTGGGTTTTCAACAGTTTCCTCCAAGGGCAGGAGCAATTTTGTTTTTCCTCTCTCCAAAAGCAGCTGGATTTTTTTTTTATTTTCTCGTCTGTGACATTTTCTCTGGAAGTTGTGGGTGCTCTAACATAAAGGGTCTTCAAACTGGACAGCTTTAAGACTTGTGGACTTCCACTCCCAGAATTCCTCCTCCAGTCATGTTAGCTCAGGAATTCTGGGAGTTGAAGTCCACCAGTCTTAAATTTGCCAAGCTTGGAGACTCTTGGTCTATTCTATCTATTCTATCTCTCTCTTTCTCTCTATCCCACCTCTCTTCATCTGTTCTATCTATTCTATCTTTCTCTCCCTCTATTTATTCTATCTCTATCTATCTATCTATTCTACCTCTCTTTATCTATCTATTCCAGGGTTCTTCAACCTCAATAGCTTTAAGACTTGTGGACTTCCACTCCCAGAATTCCTCCCCCAGTCATGTTAGCTCAGGAATTCTGGGAGTGGAAGTCCACCAGTCTTAAAGCTATCAAGTTGGAAGACCCCTGTCTAACATCATTTAATGACCCCATAATCCCTTGTGGGATGGAGTCTGGGCAATTGAATGGAGCGGAATATTTACTGGCCGGATGCTCCTCCTGTCTCCAAGGCAGAGTTTTGTCTAGCAGATATATTCTCATTGTGCCGAGAGAGACCGAAATATCTGCCTGTACCTAGGTTTGAACACACAGCCTCCCGATGGTGAAGTGAAAGCTCCACCTCTGGGCCACTGCGCCACTCTTATGGGTGCTCTATTACTGGAGCTTTTTAAGAAGAGACTGGACAGCCATCTGTCTGAAAGGATACTGTGTCTCCTGCTCCAACAGGGGGTCAGGCTAGAAGATCTCCGAGGTCCCCTCAGACTCTGCTATTTAGTATTCTCTAAAAATAAATAAATCTATTTCTAAGCAGGATACAGCATCCCACCATCTTTTGGGTACAATCGGACTGTGGAATTTAAAATCCGAGAACATGTTGTTGGCATTCTAACTAACGCAGCTGCCAAGATGAGGCAACCAGCTACAAAATATTCAAATAGCAGAAGCAAACACGGCCCTCAGACTATAAACTGTCAGATTTTTATATTCTAACAGTGTCCTCAGAGTGGGTACAAATATAGACGATGCCCAAGGCTGGGCGTTTGGCTTAGTACACACTACGGTTTCCTTCCTTTTTAATTAAAAGAATCTTTTAAAACAAATTAACGAGGCAAAATGTGGGATAACTGGTGGATTTGGTCCATGTTGCAATGACACATGATGTGCACACAATGTGTCCCCCTTGCAGACCCCCAGCAGGGAGCAGGGAGGACGCCGAAGTGTGTGCTAGCTTCACCTTCTCGTGTGGGTGTCGTGTGTGCAATTTATCACACTTAGCCTGAGAAGAAGCCCCAACTGCGATCAGTTTTCCCCCCCGTATCAATATTCGGCGAGGTCTCCGTTGCTTAGCTGCATCTTGTAGGAAGAATGACATATTTTGGGAAATATTAAAAGAGGCAGAGTATTATTTGATTGCTTATTGTACCCTATGACTATCACTAAGTATTGTACCTGATGATTCTTGACAAATGTCTCTTTTCTTTTATGTACACCGAGAGCATTTGCACCAAGACAAATTCCTTGTGTGTCCAATCGCACTTGACCAATAGAAGAATTCTCTCCTATTCTGTTCTATTTTATTTCCCCAAAGGAGGAATGGAGGGGAAAATCTTAACCAAGACAGAAAGCGGCTCCTGACAACCTCCAGCAGATGCCTGAAGTCTTTGGAGAGGGATATTTTTGTACCCGTTAAGAAATCCAGGCCACAAAGAGAGAATGGTACTGTTGACGTTGGAAGATTAGGATTATGTATACTTATTTGTATTATTATTGTTAGCCTTGTTTAAAAAGGATATTGACCCAGTCAATACACTGCCCACAAAATATGTGTGGTGTGGAAGGAATACTGTAAACAAAACAAGAATTAATAAGAAAAAGAAATCCAGCCTATTTAGAAACAAAAAAAAGCCTTCAGCTCCAACTGACGGGATTAAGGACCGGACCTGACCTTTAGGACATAGTGGGATGAACCCTCCACTGCTGAAATAGCAGGAGAGACACAATCCCCAGAACAGTTCAAACGTCAAAGTCACAGGAACCTATCAAGATCCATCCCCTCGTTCGACCGATTGGCCGGCTGTTCCAGAACCGCATGCCATGGTTAGTTCCGCTCTCGATATACAGAGTCCTTCTTTCCAAATCGACCTCCATTTTATCTCCAGAGTTTTTCTCCTGGCTTGGTTTTCTTCCAACAATCTCCTGTTGGACTTTCTGCAGCGTCTTTCTGAGGTGCCTTTCCTCACATCCCATAATATGATTCATCAACCTCTCTCGAGATTTCACTCTCTGCTCCCGCACACCACCCTCCTTGCAAAGGGAATCTGGCCAAGCCAACCTCATTGCAGAAAAACAGGTCAATCTCTTTCTTGAAGCTGTGGGGATCCAAACACTGGATCCGCGCAGAGTCACTGAATGCGCGTGGCAAGGGAGGTCATAAAATGGAACAAAACTCACTTCAGAATTGTCTTGCTTAGCAAAAGAGACTTTGAGCTCAATTGTAGTCATCGTAAGTCAAGGACTACCTGCGTTTTCCCCCCCGTTGCTAACTTCATCACGGTCGGTGGCATTTTGTTACAGGCTACTAAGCAGAAACACAACCAATTAGGAGCATAAAAGAGATCGCTCTTCTTCGGCGTCGTTTGCAAATAGTAGGTTCAAAGATGGAAGGCCTTTATTTTATAACATGGTTCCGGGCAGGTAAGTCTTCCTCCTCCTGCAGCTTAAAAAGTAAAACCGGAAGCTTTTTCCGATGACTTCTTAGCATGGATGGAGCTTGGCGGCCCCTGCTAGCAAAGCAACGGTGGGGAAATGTGCCACAATTAAAATCATTTTCTTTTTTTAAAAAATGAACCAAGCATACTTCTCGTTCATAACGGTTGCTTTTTATATATACAGTGTTTTTCTCCAGCCACCTCTTACTTTTCAGTTCCAAGATGCTCTCCACAACAAGACCAAGGAGTGTAATTCTGGGTTGTCGTTTTGGGGTATCTACGGCCAATATTTCCAAAGAATTCAGGGTGCGTAATGGCAAGGGTTTGGAGAGCACCTCTGCCATGAGACAAGAGCCACATCTGGAAGGCTGTGGCTGCGTAAAAAGAGCCATTGCTAAAAATAGGCATTTCTGTGTAGCACAGAGAGAGAGAGAGAGAGAGAGAGAGAAAAGCTGTCTCCAAACCAAAACGCAGGGGTGTGCTCTCACACAGGTCTTGCAACGTTGGCACCATCTGCACAACACAGCCAGATCAAAGACAAGCCCCCTGCTGGGGTTTGCAGAAGGTACAAAACTTGGTTAGTTTGACTTTCTTGGGACTGTGTGTGTTACCTGGATCAGACTACAGGTAGGCCACGGCTGATGCTCAAAACTGGGACTGGAATTTTTGTTGCGAAGCAAAGAGTTACAGGAATCGTGCCTGATTTCACAATCTTTTTTGCCGCCATGGTTAAAGAATCACTGCGGTTGTTAAGTGAATCACACAGTCGTTAAACGAATATAGCTTCTCCCGTTGATGTTGCTGGTCAGAGAAGCCAGCTGGGAAGGGTTCCATTGTTGTAAAGACATACCGGTTTGCCAAGAGCCCAAATATTGATCATGTGACCATGGGGATGCTACAACAGGTGTCAGGGGTGGTTGTAAGACACTTTCTGCAGTCATCATCATCGTTGTCATCATCATCATCATCATCATATTTTAATGATCTCATAATCCCAACTGAACGAAGCTGAAGGTTTTACTGGCCGGATGCCCTTCCTGTCACCAATGTGGAGTTTTATTCGGCAAATATATTCTCAGTGTGCCCAGAGAGAGAAATATCTGCCTCTACCCAGGATCGAACTCACAGCCTCCTGATTGTGAGGCAAGAGGGCCACCTCTAAGCCAACAGCAGCGCTGTTATCATTTTGAGCGGTTGTTAAAAGAAATGCTTGTTAGTTAAGACCGACATGTACCAGGTTCCCATTATAAATGTTTTGAGGATGAACTTTTTACAATCTTTATAAAACACGAGGAACTCTATCCTACAGGGAGGAAAGATCCTGGAAAGAAGCCAATATAACCATTAACACCTCAAGAGGGATGTGTTTTTTTCCACCACGATACCAGCTGGTTGATTGAACGTAATTTGGTTAGAATTTATTCATGAGGAACAATGTAGATTTTTACGTAAAAGCCACTTAAAAGGCAGTGTTAGGAAATAGTTGGACTGTCATGCCCCTGTCGGAATCTGATTTGGAGGGGGAGGCCGAGCAAACTGGGGAAGGGCAAAGTCCAGCTGGGCAGACCAGGGAAGAGGTAGAACAAGGGAGAGGGAATTCGGAGGAAGACCTAGGCCTACCCTCTCTTCATCCTACGGCACGCAGGGAGGAACGGAGAAGGGAGCAACGTGGGTTGCATGGCTTATGGGGGAGGAAAGGGCCCTGATTCCCTTCATTAGCTGCAGCTGAGAACGCCATGTTTAAAAAAGGGAAGCTGCACACAGCAAAGTTATTGGGAGCAAATTGTGAATTCTCTGGTATCATCGAAGCTTATCTGGGTTCCTGGCATCTTCCCAACTGCGTGTGTTTTGTTGGCCTTTCAAGGCTGCAATTCCTTCTCCTGCCCTGTCCAGTTAATTGCTGCAGCGTGTTTTGCGTGGATGTTTATTTACAGTTTGTATGTACTTTGTTTTCGGACTGAATTTCCTCCACTTAAAGACTGTTCTTGGGAGAGATTTTTCTCCAGCCGAAGGTAAACTGGACATTGGAGGTATTAAAGGGACTTTTCTTACTTATTTGACTGTGTTGCCTTTGTGCCACACCCCGGGTCATCACATGGACATTTTGGAATATTTGGAGCAACATAATGAAAAATGAGCCACGTTGATTGTCTTAAGATGCAAAAAAGCCCTTTGACAATCGAAGTGAGCTTTCCTGCTGAAGACTTTGGAAGATATTAATTTTGGAGAGAACTTTATCAAATGACCGAGATCGATTTACACTTCACAGAAAGCACAAATAATTGATCTAACCAAAACAAAAAAAAAAACACCCTGTGAGATATAAAAAGGGATGACAGAAGGATGGCACTGCCTCCTCTCTTGTTTATTTTGGTTCTTGCAATTCTGAGTAGAGATGTGAGACAAGATGAAAGGATTGTGGTAGCAAAGGTCTAAAAATAAACTTAGGAAGTTAAGGGCTTTTGCAGATAACTTGCCGGTGGTTTTGGAAGAGTCTTCAAGGGGAATTAAAACACGAATAGGAAAAACAAAAGAACTGGCTGCAGTAGCAGGTATCAAGGTGAACAGACAGGAAGGTGAAAATGGAGGATCAAACAGAACGGACGAACAAAACAGACGAAGAACAAAACCTGTAAGGAAAATGTTGGGTGCTACCCAACAAAATGTGGCTGGATGGTGAGAAAAGTAAAGTCTTGCAGAGAAAAAGCCAAAGTACCGGTACAAAATAGACGTTACCTGGCTCAGCAGGTGAGAGATTACAGATTAACAGAGTTGGAACGGACCTTGTGGGTCACCTAGTCCAGTGGTCGCCAACCAGTGGGCTGGAGACCACTGGTGGTCCGTGAGAAAATTTGGGTTGTCCTCAGAGAAATGTCCCCCCGCCAAAGAGATCAATCCAGGCTGTGAGGGACACACAAGGGTGCAATCCTTGTGTGGTCAAGGACTAACTATAGCTTAGGGTTTTCTGCAGGGAGACCTAGCCATCACTGGCAAGAGACCCCTGCTGCGCTCGCAATCCATTTAGAGGCTAAGTGGGACCTTTAAGGACAGTCAAAGAAGCTCATTTTGGCTTATCTCGGGTCTTTTTTTATTATTATTTTTGCAAACTTATCCATCTCTTTTTCTCCCAGCCCTGCCTCCAGTGTGATATATATTTCTCCAAATAAATTTATAAATAAATTTATAAATTTATTTGCCTCAGCGTACATTGTTTTTGCAAATTATTTTTTTTTTCATATTGCAATAACTCTTTAATAAATCACCTCTATGAATATACAGACTTTCCCCAATACGCTTTTAAATTATATGATTGAGAGAGAGAGAGAGAGAGAGAGAGCGCCTTGCAACTATCAACTAAAAAATACTTCTTTGGTCTTTTTAGTTGCCAGCAGAAAGGGAGTGAGGGGGAAAAGCAGTGCATTTCTTAAATGCCTCAGATAATCGCCTGGGCAGCGCAAAGCTGTCGGCGTGCAATATTATTACTATGACTCTTGGCTATGGATGTGTCCCATTGGAGAATATACATCCTTGGGGTGGGAGGAAGAAAATGAATGATGTGTTTTAGTATCACCTGCATCCAGCTAACGCCAGCATGGCCACTCCTAATAAGTCATTTCTTTTTTCACTCTGAGAGATGTGGCTAGAGACTTACGATTTGAATGGGGGATTTGTTGGAGCCCTGACAGCAACATTGGGAGGGCTGCAAATTTTATCTGACTGTTCTGTTTTGAATGTGGGTGCCAGCCTGGGAATATACAGTTATATGTTGGCGCTCAGAAGAAGTTGATTTAATTCCTCTCCTGCCTGGGTGGGAGGTCACAGTAGAGAAAACTCGTTCCCTGTAATAACCAGATTAGTGCCGGCTCTTCTCAGAGTTTCGGAAATAAATCAGATCCCTGAAGCCTCAAACCGCTTTCAGCCGAACAGAACAAGTTGGATGCGGCTGGTGACTCTTCCTGATGTGGGCAGCACTATCTCCAAGCAGTTACACCTTGGAAATCCTTTGGGGACATGTCACCCCTTAAAACAGGGGTTCCCCAAACTTGGCAACTTTAAGACTTGTGGACTTCAACTCCCAGAATTCTGCAGCCAGCATAGTGCCAAGTATCAGAGTATATACGCAGAGCAACTAAGTCAGCCAAGGAGGACTGTTTGGAAACTGAAACTAGAAGCAGCCTAGGCGTGGATCTATATATTAAGCTCTGCAGCTCTGTTGAGCTCTGAGTCTGTCTGTTGAAGATGAAAGTGCTTCTTTCCTCTGCTGTGTGTCTTGCTTGCCTGCTGAACTAAAGTGAAACTGAGGTCTGTTTTCTGAGCTCCTGAGTTTCTGTTCTGCTTTGAACCTGTAACCTGTCTGCTTCTGTTTGAGTTTGGAGAAATGCTGGAGAAATCTACAACTGGTATTGTAAAATTTACTTTATGTGTTTATAAAGAAGTTAAATGAAGCCTCAGCCATCTGTGTGTACTTTTCTGGCGCTGAATTTACACTGCAATAATCTGAACTCCAAGTTTGGAGACCTCTGACTTAAAAGAAGACCCCTGCTAGGGGCATGGGATGTGATAATGGGTGCAGGAGGTGGATTTGTAGTTTTTTTACTTATTGCAAGGAAGCCCAGAACTTTCAGATTCGGGATTCCCCAGATGTGCCAGTTTGCTATCCAAAAAAGAGGAACTTTTGAGAAGATGTTTGTCTAGAAGTTATTTGTTGGAGGAGGTTTTCTGGAACGCTGACAATATATATGTATTTTAAAAATGGCACTGAATGACAAGGAGCATTTAAGTCCCAATAGCCAGGGTTTGTTGTTGTTTTTTTACAAGTTTTGGGGCCATTCAAACTTCCAACTCAACCTGTGTTTGGAGCACCGTCAACCAGAACCTTTTTCCCCCCCCTAATTTCAGCCAGGGTCACTGGGAGTGGGCCTTTGGCGAAGGTCTCTGGGAAACAGTCCTGCCCATCAACGCGCGGACGATACTGCAGTTCTGGAAGGAGGACCTTTTTGCGGGAGACCCAGCGAAGGGCACTTCCTGGAAGGAGCAGCCGTCGGTCCCCTCACCTGGGCATCCGGAGGGGCGGTCGGGGAGGCCTTACAGCCGCAGAGACGTGACCCGTGGGATGTGGAAGGGAAACGTTTCATCTGATCCAGTAGAACTAGACGCAGCGGGAGAGAAAGCAGATTCTATTATTTTCTCAGGAAACAGGGAATGTCCGCACACTGCGGTCAAAAAAAAGTCAAAATGGCCACCACCGCATCATTGTACGTGGCGCGTAGATGTTATCGTGCCCAGCAAAAGTGGGCAGAGCTTCCGTTGCAGCGTTGTGGCTGCCCCCTTGGCTTTTTTGACTGTGCCCTATCGACCCCACCGAGCAGGAAGTTGTTCAAGGCTTGTAGAATAACTGGGGCATTCATTCATTTCATTCATTCATTCATTCATTC